TGATTTCTACTCTGTTGGTTGTTTCTCATTAATTGCACAAAGCGAATTTATCGGATACAGTTAGCCAGTTGTACAAACAATCATTCATAGCATGATTTCACTGCACTCTAAAGGATTGGGTATTTTCCTTGAATCAGATTAATTTAGATTCTCTCACTATTAATGGCTTTTGCCATGGTCATCTGAAATATCATAGTCAAGAATCGACTAGTCAAGTTAATTATGTCTGATGCTTAGGCTTCTTAAAATGATTTCTCATCCCATCTCCGCGTTATTGACGGTGCGACTTCTCATTTGTGCTCATTGGGGAGAGGAGAAAGGCTCTTTGTCTTGTTTCGGAAGGGTTACATTTTAGCTTCTCAACACCGAGAAGCCAATGTATTGCATTTGAATGACTTCTGTGTGATACAGTGAACTTTCAAAGAATCTGCACAACAACCATAAAATGATTAGACCTAGCAGGCGCCTCAATTCGACGGAAATTTGTACTGATGAGTTTAGCGTTCGCGATTGACGAAGGAGAATCCAAGCTGGTTTTGCAGGTTTCCTGTCGAATAACATAGCGTAGTATGAGGCATTTTCTGAGAACAAGGCTTCTTTTCAATTCACTGATGAGTTATATGTTTCTTTTCGTATGCATACATATTACTTCCATGTCTCGAACTGCTGCGAAGCAGGAATCTACCGCTGGCATCTGCCGCAACAATAAACGTGAGTTCGCATTACTTGGAATTGGTGAATTCTATGCGCTCCGCTGTAATGCTGTTAAGATAACTGTTGCGTAAGTTTTGCTGACATGGGTCATTCCCATAAATCTATTCAAATAACGAATGTTTGCTTATCTGTTGAATACTGTAAGAATAAACTTGAGGACATTTGCTTCATGGAAACCTGAATATGAGCACCTTTGTGAGTTCAGTCAAATTCTTCTAAACCGACTTTAGATGCAAAGTCCAGTCAGCTTCAACCAATGTTGCGGCTGTCATATAAAATTTTTATTATTACTGGTTTAGAATTTAATCTGCGTGTAACTTCTATTCCCGGAAATCGAAATCTGACTCGATAGTCAACATGTAATGGGTAATAAAACTTAAAAACGGGGCCAAGGTATCATTTTACATCGGGTGCGACGTAGAAGTTCTGCAACTGTACCTGCGGATCGAAGCTTCGCGCGCGCTCAGTACTGTGTATCAACCTTAGCGTCGACGTTCGCGTCTGGCGGCGACGGTTTGTGTACGACTGTGATAAAGTGCCTAAAGTTGCGCGTTTTCGCTCTTGTATTTGTTCGGTTTAGGCTACTGCCGACAACGCTTGGACACGGTCATTTGGACGCCCACGATGACGACTCTAAAAGAAGTGCTACAGAAGACTA